GTCTCCATAGGCTGCCCTGAAGGTGGAATGAAGTAGTGTACCCCTATCAGGTAGGCACCTTGAAACACCAGGAATGGCATTAGTCCCCTTCAGTTCCCCTTTTGCAGCTGGGGAGGGAGGAACAGTCAGAGGTTGGGAGGTAGAGAAGGAAAACCCACTTCCACTGCTATTGAGTAGATCCAGACTCATAGAATGGAGCTCTGGTAGCATAGTGGTTCCGAAACAGGTTGTAAACCTCAAGGTGAGCAGTTCGAAACTATCAGAGAGAAAGATGAGGCTTCTGCTCCCCCGTAAAGATTTACAGCCTCGGAAACCCTGTACAGGGTCAATACGAGTTGGAAGTGACTCCACGCACCAACAGACTCATAGGGACCTTCTAGGGCAGTTTCTGAGATGGTAAATCTTAATAGAAGCAGACAGCCTCATCTTTCTCCTACAGAGAGGTCAATGGATTTGAACTGCTAACCGAAAGGCCAGCAGCCCAACACATAATCCAGTATGCCACTAGGACTCCTTAAGGGAAGGGAAAGGCATCATCCTTGTTCCTGTTTATTTCTGTGCACAGATGGTTGTTCCCTACTGACTTTGGATCCAATTGTCTATCTACTTGTCTTTAAACCTTCCTAAGTTTCCATTCAAAAAATGACTTGGCTTAATGGCCACAGCTCAAAGGCAAAATTCTACTAGTTCAAGCCACAAGACATTTGCAACCAGAAGCCTAAAACTTTGTCTGAACACCACCTTCCCCAAAAGACATGACTACAAGACACCCAGGGACAAATACTTGTTCTCAGTCTTCTAAGATTTAATAAAATCACTGAACCCTTTCCACTAGGTACTCAGCCTTTTGAGACTTCATTATTACCCCTTCTCATCTGAAGCTCAACTTAAGCCAAATTCCCTTTTAAAAAGTTTATTTGGTGTTTTTTTTATGCCCACTTAAAGCTGTTCCCTATCAAGGTCTAACCCAAGATACGCTACAGGGTGATCTTGAGCAAGCTACTTCACCTCTGTGTCTCTTTGGGGTTCTTGTGGGGTTTTTTTTTTTTTTTTTTAATGTTCTATTGTGAATTATGCGATAGTTTACATGGGAGAACATTAGTTTTACATTCATTCTATAATACATTGTTTCACTGCCATAGTTACAATCCCCTCCATGAATCATCAACCAAACAAAGGGTATACCCTGCAAGCCTGCCCCCTGGTCTTCAGCACACAGCCCCTATTCCTCTCGGGTCTAAAGTCCACAGCTGCTCCATCTCTCCACATCATCCTCTCTGCCTCCATCTCTGGTGTCACTGCTTCTCTGGGTAGGGTCCCGCTGGCTCTCCGCTGTTGTTCTCCCTTGATGGTCCCAGGGACCTCCGCTCCTAGACTGAAAAGTTAATCACTCCCTTCCTTGCTACCGGACATCTACCTTTACATTTCCAGATTCTTGTGTTTTTGAGGTAGATGGACTAGATCTTGGGGTTCTAACCTCCAGGTCCATGGATGGCCTTGAGATATGCATGAATCCCTCTAAAATAGGATAAAACTGGTTTTGTCCCTGAAAGGCAGTGGGTGGCAGAGGGGCCAACTGCAGAAAGGAGAAAGTACAGCCACATTTACTCTGTTATGCGTCTTTTGAATTTTGGACCAAAGGAATGTTTTACCTATTTAAAAACCAATACATAAAATGTTTTATTAAAAAGGAAAGAAAATAAGTGCAAATCCATGTGTGTAAGGCCACCTGTGCACTTTTCTGGGAGAGGATCTATACTTCTCACCAGGTTTTCTTAGTGTCCTTGACTCCAGAAGAGTTTAGAAACCATTTTACTAGATAACTTTAAAGGTCATTTTTAATACTCAGGACTTCAGCCAGTCTGGGTTGAAAGTCACTGTAGGTAAAATACAGATGTGAATCAGCAGGGGCAGGGGTAGGTTCCCATGGGAATGTAGGGCTTTGTTGTGGATTCAGTGGTGCACCTCCTGGGGTGCCCTGAGACCAAGGTCAAGAAATGACCCCATCAGCTTATTCTCTAGAAACTGCCAGATTAAGACTGCTTTGCCCTACCTCCTGCGCACACATAAAGCAACAGCCAGCTTGGATTAACTGCACCAGCAATATCTTTAAATAAACACAACCTAGATTTTAAATTTTGGAAACTTTGGCACCAAGAGGAAAGGGAGCAGAGAGAAGAAGGGGGAAATGGAGTGGGAAGATCTGTGTGAGTTGGAGAGGGATGAAGTCCAGGCTCATCCGGAGAAGACTGAGATCTGAGTCACTGCAACCCAAAGGGATCGTCAGGTGCCAAAGAGGAAGCGCTTCCTAGGTGTCTGATGTGGAAAGCTTCAGGGAAGGGGGAATCTAGCTGAGAGATCAAAGACTGGTGAAGGCAACCAGACTAGCAGCTGAATGGGTCAGAGCAAGAGAAAGGTCACATGGCTTTAAAAAAAAGAAAGAAAAGAAAAAAAGGGAGAGCCGCCATTTAACAAATGGCCCCTGGCTATGGTAAACTTTAATTAACTGCACTATTATAATTCACTTCCAGCCTAAGTTCCACCCCACCCCGCTCTGCTCTCCTCCTCCCACTCTCTCCCCCTTCCCTCTTCCCTGTGTCTGTCAGACCTGGCTTCCTTAGTGATACCAAACTGGCCGCCTTTGCCGAATGCTTCATTATTACAGCTCCTGCTTCTGTTAATAACAGTACCCGGCAACAAGAAAAGGAAGGAAACAATACAGTTCCCAGCTCTTAATGACAGGTCCCCCTTCCTTACCTGTTGTTAAGTGCCGTCAACTTGGTTCCGACTCACAGCGACCTGTATAGGGTTTCCAAGGAGCAGTTGGTGGATTTGAACGGCTGACCTTGTGGGTTCACTGTCCAGTGCTGATCCTACAGTGCCACACCAGGAGTCCCTTTCTTACCTAGGTGCACAAAATCAAGGGTCTTGTAATCCTAAAAGTTCCTGAACATAATACCACTGCAATGAAGAGGCAGCTGGCTGCACACAGAGCCAACTTTCAGTTGGAGCCACCAAAGAGTACTCCTAGCGTCCACACCAAGACCAGCAACCCACACATCTAAGTTCACATGCATGATAGAATGGTGGGGCTACACCCGCAACTCCTGCAGTCGATGGTGGTTCAATTATACCTGTGACACTCTCTAGTCTGCTAAGTTTTACCCATTTTAAGTGTGTACAGTGAGCGTGGGGGCTGGGAGCACCTTGGAGGATAGGATCTTCCAGGCGAGACAGGCTTGCTTTTTATTAATGAGCTTATGAGAAAAGTCAACCCAGGCCTTTAAAGTGAAATGCGTGATTGGTAGCCAGGCAAGATGGGTTTTAGAATTAACTCTTCCTACAGTCTGCTATGCATTATCACCCCCAAGTTAATTACCCCTGAGGATGAAAATAGGTTGCATGACTCATAAGCACCAATACAACATTTGGCAGCAGATGAAAATGCAAGGACACATTTGCAGGAAGCTGACACACATAACTATTTATATTTGGGGAGATTCTTGAAGAGGTGAAACAAGCACCTCCCATGTTCCTGGATTAAGTGACTGCAGCAAGATCCATCAATTGCCACTTATCCACACCCTGGAGCACACACACAGATAGTCAGGATTTCCACCACATCAGTGATGCTGGCGGCAAAGTAAGAACAGAAAGTAAAAGGGTGTTATTAACAGCAAGTCCTAACACCAACCCAACCTCTACACCACTATTCTGTGCTAACCAGTGATTTACTTCCCCCCAAAATGTGCCCCACCTCCCTTCTTGCTCCCTTTGATAGGGGTGAGGTAGGGAATCAAATCTTTCCCTTTTTTCTTTGCCTGGTGGGGACTGTCCAGGTTCAGCTTGCCCTGCCTAAGAACGGGGTGTGGCCAGGCACAGCTTTCAGATAGGATCTCCGGGTTGTGTTTTGCTTCCTCCCTCTTGTTTTCTACTCTTCTTTTGCCTCCCAGGAAAGTGCAAGGTTCAAACCTGGTTTTGTTTGCTTTGCCCTAGTTCTGGGAGGACTCTCGACTTTGCAAAGGGGGTTCCAGGTTCTAAAAGACATTCTAGAATCTCCCCTCCTCCATCCCTCCCAAATGTCATTAAGAAGTTGATTAGATGAATAACTGCGTTTTTTTTTCACCAGTAGAAATAGACTTTATTTGCTGCCCTAAGTGATCTTTGCTTTAGGCGCTTTTTCTGGCTCCTTTCCCCATCCCAGGCAACCTTCTTATGAGCTAAGTGTGGTGTTTTCCCGAAATATTTATCAGAAGGGGGACAGAAAAAAATGTCTAAAAACATGTAATGAGGTGAAAACTGCTTTTCCTATGCATCAGCTGGACGCTGCAGGGAACCCTCAGGGCTGAATACAAGTATTTACTTCCCAGTAGCCCACCCCGCCTCCACTGATGACTCCCAGCTCTGTGGCATTTTTATTTTAAATGTGCAATAGCTGTGATTTCTACCACATCTAAGAGGCAAAGCATCCTAGCTTTTTCTAGATTCTTATTTGCCCCTAGTTGCACAAGTCACAGCCGCAGTTGCGTTGGCTGTCAAATACAATCATGGCCACAGGGTGAGGCATTAGAAAGCGTTGCTGATACTGGTTGCTGGTAGCAGCTGGGGCGTTTGGGGTAGGGGGAAATGGAGATGCTGAAGAGTAAACAGAAATCTCTTAGTCAGCACTGTTCCCCGCGGGGGGG